TTTCTCCCCTTTTCTTAATTGTTGGAAAGACTGACTCACTGAAACTACAGTCTGTAATTCTAATTTTATCCCTTATTTGACAGCTTAACACATTCACTCATCAAGGGAGATTCATATCCAACATATATTCCTCTTTTAAGTCCCATCATAGATCAATGTGGTGGAGCAACATTATCCAAAACTTTAGATGGGAAACATCTGGTTCCTGATTAAAACCAATTTTTTGGGGAGAACTCAAAATTATTCATTGGCATAATGCGATTCAATGCGGTTTCAGTCTACAGCCGACTGCTCTACCACTGAGCTACTGAGGAACATCAATTAACTAAATACTTGCGCAAAGATACATAGTGGGTGATCAATCCACAATATCTCTTAGTATATGTACCAAAAATTTGTCTTTTTCCAAATTTATGGAGAGAGAAAGCCGCTGAAACTTGCCTTATGGACCACATATAAGAATTTTCTGAATCTTTAATGAATGTCTATATACTTTTTTTTTATTCTTTACACATGATTTATCGAATATGAGTTTGAACATGATCTTCTGGATGTTTCACTTACTATGAATTATGGTATTTTTCAATTCTATCCCTCGAGATGATGACATATTAGGTCCATCAATCTCAAATTGAATCCCATTATATAAATCAACAACATGCCCAGTTTGGATTATGTATCTTCTCTTAGATTCTCTTAATATTTTGAGACTTGAGAGAATATAACTCATCAATGATTTCAAATCATTCCCATAGGCAAATCATATCTGCTCTTCCAGAGCTTTCAGTAGTCTTTATGCTACCTGATATTGTACTCACAATAGCTTATTTCATCATCACATGAGAGAAATATCTCTTGTATGCTATCATCTTTTATTTTTCCACTTCTAGTGAGTATCTGAGTTCTAAAAAGAAACTCTCTTGTCTCAATCTTGACCTTGACCATATCCATATCCATACCCACATTTATGTTTCTATCTATGACCACTTCCATAGCCACTTCTTGACATATATTAATGTGTGGTCTTTTCTTTTTCATTATAGTATGTCACATTTTGGTGATCATATCTTTCTTTTAGATTACTCTAAAGAATTTGTGGATCTTTTGGGTCAAGTACTTGATCTTAAAATCATCAAAGAGGTGATGACATAAAATAATAATCATAAGATTAGATTAAATTCTAAATTAATGTATTTACTAATTAAACAAGATCATACAATCAATATGTGTAATTTTTCATGGTGATGAGAACAGGCATGCATGATTGAAAATCTGTACAAAATCATGTCTATGCAAAACTCATGAGAAATCATACTAAATTCAGAATACATAAATTATATGTAAATTACATGTTTCAATCATCTATGTGCTTAATTCGTGTTAAAGTGTATTCCATAATTTTCATTTAATGATCATGCATGAATATTTAAAAATAGAGAATCACTCTACAATTATCTTAGCCATGCGAAACCAATAGTTTATCAATCAACCAACTTAACGATTTGCCAATTTCTTAGTAAGCAAGCATGTCTCACACTTAGAACGAAGTGATAACATGATGGAATAATAATGCAAAAATCATATGAAACGTGGATATTTAATCAAAGAGATACTATAATCATATGGATCTCTATAACACATTTTAAAAGATATTATAATTATGCCATGAACAGTATGGTTAAATTCGTTTACTTAGACAAAATGTAAAATCAGATAAGTATTCAATATCCACCAAGATTGCAATTAATGCAAAATTTGTTTACTAAACATACACGTCAATACACATATGATTTATAAATACACGGATAATATAAGAATATATAATACTTGTCTCTTCATATAAGATTTCATATCAAACCAGCGATTGACTAAACCAACTCAAACCAATTATTTATCAAACCAATACTTCTACAGTTGTCCAAATTTTATTCCAAGTTCATCTAACATGTGACTAAAAAGATCGATTGGTTTATTTAAGATTTACTTCATAAACCAAACAAATCATTAACCATGACCACATGTGAGCATGGTTCAACAATGAAGCAATTAAAATCAACAATTGTTCTATACGTGTATCTTATAGATTTCTATGGCTAACATTTATTAGACTTATGATTTCAAAATGATGTTTTTGAGAGCATTGGCTATTGAATTAAATTTTATGAGGTATACTTTTAAAATGGATATTTGATTCAGACTGGATGTACTCCTAGTTTCTACTGCAGTAGAACAGTGATGTAGTTGTAATATAAAGGATTCGGAATTCAGAGGACCAGTGTTACTCTATGATTTTGCGAGGATTGAATTAAAGCTAAGACGAAAGATGGTTTGTTGCAAAAACTAAAAAGTAAACAGAATGGCAAACAACGATTTAAATTCAAATTAAAACAAGCACTAGATCAAGGTAATTCGCAGGAGTTTCAGAGATGAGAATCAAATGACTATTCAAGGCACAACTTAAATGCAGGTCTCGAACTCAAACATAAAAGCTTATCGATCCACTGTCGTGATCTCGATAACTTTATCTAACAACCTAAATTCTAAACTGTCGTTTGAACTTAGAAAATTGCAGACAAGCATTAACAAGCAGGTTTGATCTGTTCACGATTTGCCTTAACTTCAACTGTCGTTGGCTAAGGACAAATCGCTCACCAATGTTTGTTCTAGCAACCTATTACACTTTTGATGAATAGATTAACCTATGAACGTAAATTGAATGGCCAGTTCAACCTAAGCGTTAAGTCTAACAAAGGTGAAGACAATCGATTATAGACCCTATTTGCATCCAATTCTCTAACGCATGAAATCCTTTGAAAACCTTAATCTAGCTAAGAGATCTACTCAGACATGGAGAAAAGAAACACAGCAACAGATGAAAAGGAATTCATGAATTAAAATCGCAGAAGAGATAATAAGGTTCAGAGTTCTTCTCAAAGTGGAGCAGATTTCTTCTCCCAAAAGCTTACAAGTAAAAACTCTTTGGTTCAGGAAATTGTAAAAAGAAAGCGTAAAAAGTCTGTAGAAAAACGTGACAATAAAAACACAGGCGGCTCTGGGCTTTTTATTCCATCTCACGCGACTTAGGATTAGGTAAAATCGTTTTCCTTATTTTTCTCCCGTCCGGAGCAGGTGCTCCACGAAGGGTCCGAACCGGGAGCAGGTGCTCCACGGATGATTTCTCCAAAAGCGTGTGAAATAGCTCCTTATTGCTCAAATTAATCTCCTTTTGCTCCAATGCCTCCTAAACATTCCAATCCTCTGATAAGGCCTCTAAGTCACCTGAAACTTCCTAAAAGACTCCAAAAACTCCTAAAACAATCAGTAAACACAAGTTAGAATGAGTCAAAATCTCCACTCATCAATATTATAAAATATCCAGTATACTTTATTTATCAAAAGACTATGGATCAATGAAATCATCTGTTTGAACATAATCAAATCTAACCTTTTTTGGTATAGAAACGGATCGTGCTGATAATGTTTTATGGATTATTAGTTAATTATAAATAAAGGTGAGTAAGAGTTTGTGTTATAAGAAAGATGGTGGAGAGAACAAAGCTTTTCTTTGTGCTTGTATTTTGTTATTATTGTTGATGTACATTCTCTTCGTTAAAGCCTTATAGATAAAGACTTAGAGCATCTCCAACCCTACCCCATTTCTTCCTCCAAATGCCATTTTGAAGGAAAATCTTCTCCAACCCTACCCCATTTTCACCTGCAAAATGGAGGAATGCTATTTTTTCCCCCAATATGGAGTAACCCCATTTTCAACTCCATTTTGCAGGTGAACTTTTTTATTTACAAGATAGTCCTTTACTTTTCATTATATTTTTTATTTATAATTTAATATTTTATGTTATATATATTTAATTTAAAATTAAAGATAGATAGATTTAAAATTTGAGAATAGAAAATAAAAAATATAAGAAGACTAACGGAAACTAAAAATATTGTCTAAACGAACCAGATTGAGACGGATTTTGTTGATATTGTTGTTGTTCAGCTCTTTTCTGTAAAATCCGTGTTTGTTCACTCTGAACATAAGCACGAAGATTCGGATCTTGTATCGAATTTAAGTCTTGGAACAAAAATTTGTTTTCTCCCTTAAATTCTTTCAAGGCATAGTTCTTACTTTGAATATCCAAATGTTGTTGTCTTTGGGCACTTGTCTTTTTTAACTGTTCCAAAAGTTGCTTATTTTCTTCTTCTAAAGAACTGATAACAGCTGATGTTCCATCATCGATTTTTCAAAGATAAAAACGCTCATTTTTCACTTTGAAATGCGGTTCTAAAAATTTCTTGCTCGATTCAGAGAAATCAAAGATAAAAACACTCATTTTTCACTTCGAAATGTTTTAATTGATCATTTGTGAGAAAAGTATTCAAATGGTGATATTTAAATTAAAATGTACTTTGTTTCTTATTTTAAATGGTGTGTAATGTTATTTTTATATTATAGTGGTTGAATTTAAAATAATATTATAATTTATAAAAGTTTTAAGACAAAAAAAAATAAATGGGTTTATTTGTAATTTTTATAAATAGAGTGCATTATTAGTAATTAACAATATAATAAAAATGAAGAATATACTTAGAATATTCTTTTTGGAGTTCAAAATGGAGGAATATATTGGAGAGAAATCCAACTCCATTTTGCAGTTCTCCCATTTTGGAGATAAAAATGGGGGAATATATTGGAAATGCTTTTAGAACAAAATCAAGACATGTGTAATAGTGATTAAGATATTACTTTTTTCTAATACAAAAATTAGTGTCCAACCAATATGACAAGTGTCCAAGGAAGCATAGGAAGATGACAAATAATAATGTGATGGATACTCACACATTTTTCTTAACAGTTTCCAAGTTTTTGAAATCGTAAATTATTAGTTGATTTCCAAGTTTTTGAAAACGTGAAGTATTTACATTAGTAAAAATAGTTTTCACGAATTTCCCGCAAATGTATAGATACGTTGGATAAAAACGAGTCAAACAACACTCAAAAAGGGGGACTGATATTATCCCAAAAACGGTGCGTTTAGGATCCTCGCCGTCGCCGCAATCAATGGCGAACAAAGCAACGTCTTCGTCGTCTTCTCAGCCGGTAAACCTCAAAAATCGTACTCTCTTTCCGATCTCTGTCACTATTCTCACAATGAAACTCTCTCTCGCTCAGGAAGCTGCAGATGATGAAACACAAGACTGGATTCTCGGAGCCGGGTCGGGTTGGGTCGAAGCACGAACATCATGCGATCACTTGAATTCTCTTTCTTCCGATTTGGTTCATTTACCAAATCCCTATACTCCTTGTTCAAGGTTGGCTTCTCAATCCCTTTCACGGTTTTGATTTGATGTTTTGGTAGCAATTGGTTTCAGAATGTATTTTGGATGATCTGTAATTGTGGTTGTTTTGACATTTGATCTCACAGTTCCTTGTGTTGTTGAAGAACACTTATCACTAACCATAGAGAAGAGAAGTTTATTGAGAAACTGTGGTTTATCCTCTAATTGCTTTTGTTTCAGAAATTGATCTCTAATCTCTGAAAGTGTTGTTGTTGTTGGCTAATTGCTCTCGAAAATTGAAGTTTGGTGAACTGTTTTTCATTTGATGAGCTTCACAAAATGTTTCTAAGCTGTGTAGTATTCAATTGCATATAGTCACCATGGAGTATAACATTTATGGGCATTGACTTATGGTCATTAGAATCAGCTCCAGCTTTGGCTCTCTGGAGTCGAGGCTATGCATCAATGGGCTCTTCCGCTTTGTGATATTTGTTGAAGTTAACCATAAGCATGTTATACGTAATGTCCGATTGCATTTAGTGATTCTGAGTTCTACAGAAACAATCTCAAACACTTCACGGAAGGTCCTGTGATTGATTTTGGTAGCAGTAAATTGATTTTGACATTGTTTTATCGACTCAACTATCTTACACTTTCTAATGTGCAATAAGGTGCGAAAACCCGGTAGAGAACTGGTTATGCCTTTGTTGTAAAGAGGTTCTATGCAGCCGTTTCGTGAACAGACATATGCTGATGCATCATCAACAGACTGGTCATTGCCTTGCACTCAGCTATAGGTATTTGTTTTCAATTTTTCATTACATTTGCTCATTTCTTGTTTTACAGCCACTGATGCTGAGATGTGTAAGCTCAAACCTGTGGAAGAACAGTGACTTGTCGGTATGGTGCTTCTGCTGCGAAGCGTATCTCGATGCTCAGATCATATTACAGCTGAGACCAGTTCACCAGGCTGCTTACATTCTTAAATTTGGCGAGGCTCCTCCCTTACCCCAACTTTGAAACACTCAAAGCTCCTCTTTTTGTCACTCTGTATTGTGTAAGGGTAGTTTGAGTTGATGATTTTTTTTGTCGAAAACAATATTAGTCGAATATTACTATCAACACAAAGACTTTTATTCCTTGCATTCCAACGTGAAGATCAGTTCAGAAAAGACTAGTTAGTAAGTCAAGCAGAGTTGATTTATCTTTGTGGTGTACATACAATCTTTTGTCTTGTCTCTACGCTTCTTCTGCGAATTTTCCAAGCTGCTCTCTCTCTCTCCCCCTCTCTCTCTCTCTCCCTCTCTCTCCCTCTCTCTCCCTCTCTCTCTCCCTCTCTCTCTCTATCTCT